AAAGAAAGAAAGAAAGAAAGAAAGAAAGAAAGAAAGAAAGAAAGAAAGAAAGAAAGAAAGAGAGAAAGAGATTGATTGGTTGCCTCTTGGATGCTAGATGCTCCCCAACTGGAAATTGAACCGCAACCCGGGCATGTGCCCTGACAGAATCAAACCCGCGATCCTTCGGTGCATGGGACAACGCTCCAACCAATTGAGCCACACTGGCCAGAGCCATTTCACTAATCTGAAAAAAGATCCTGGTTTTTAGGATACTCACTACTCATCCACTGCAGGCTCACTCCCCAACACTGGAAACCTCTGGTGGTGGGTGGCAACAAAATCAGTATTAAAGTCTTCACTGAGTGCTCCTACACACCACCCACAGGGTTAAGGTGTTGGGGATACTGAGGCGAAGCAGTCTACAGCCTAGGAGAAAAACCCTGGCCATGGTCCCAGCGCCTTGAAGAAAAATATAATTGACCTGGAATTGTAAATATCTCCAACCATCCCAGAAACTGATTCACCGAGCACTCCCAGACCTATTTATTACACAAACTAACGAATGTGTTGCCTTAAATTTAAAAAATGCTCTTAGGGGTGCATAAATTAGTGTAATCTTTTTGGAAAGCAATTTATTTAAAAAGCAAAAAATTAAATATACACAGCCTTTAAGCCAGCAATTTCAGATCTAGGAAAGTACTTTAATGAAATAAGGAGGACAACGTACAAAGATATGCAAGTATTCTTTGCAGCATTCATGAACTCAACCAATATTTACTGAAAGCTCATTTTGTACCAGGCTCTGTAAAAGAGTAATGGAGTTATTCGATGGACAAAACAATAAGATTCCGTTCTCATAAAGCTCACTTTCTAACGCTATTTGTTATTGAAAAACTGGAAACAATCTACACGTATATTTACAAGGGACTGATAAAACAAATTATGGTGCAGGCTTACAATGCTTAAACTCGTCAGCAGCCTCTGCCTACCACACTGAAAATGAATCCAAACTTCTAACCTTGATTTGGGTCCTGTCTCTCTCTCCTGCCACATCCAGCTTCCCCCCTTGCTGGCTTGGCTTCAGTTACACTGACCAGTTAAAGTTTTGGAAATACCAAAGTCTGTTCCGCCCCAGGGCCTTCCAACTTCCTACTTCCTCTCTCTGAAACACTGCCTAGCACGCCCCGCCACCCCCAGCTTCTCACTGGGCAGTCTCCTTCCCAACCCTCAGGTCTTTGCTTCAATGTCACTCCTCACAGAGGCCCTTCTCTCTATTTTAAATAAATATTTTTAGAGAAAGAGGAAGGGAGAGGAAAAGAGAAAGAGAAACATCGATATGAGAGTGGATCAGCTGCCTCCTGCACACCCCCTGCTGGGCACTGAGCCTGCAACCTGGGCATATGCTCTGACCGGGAATCTAAGCAGCAACCTTTTGGTGCAGGGACGCTGCCCAGCCAACTGCCCCAGAACAAGGCCCTTCTGTCCACTCTACTTCTGTAGGCAGCTCCCTCACTAGCACTGCCACACCTGTTTCCTTCTTAGCACTTAGCACAAAACTGAAGTTACATATTTATTACCTGGGGTCTTCCATCAATTCTAAGTTCCATGACAGAAAGAAACTTGGCTACTTTGTTCACCATTGTTAATTAACATCAACCACAGCACCTGCTTCATAAAGATTTCTTGAATGAATGGATTAATGAATGAAATACCCCATGCAAATATTAAGTGTAAAAGTGTAACAATTAATGAACCAATATTGATACATTATTGGCTTTTGTTGTTGTTAATCCTCACTGGAGGATATTTTTCCTTTTTTTTTTTTTGAGAGGGAGGGAAAGGGGGGGGAAGAGACAGAGAGAGAAACATTGATGTGAGAGAGAGACATCAATTGGTTACCACCCACAAGCACTCTGATCAGGGATGGGGATCGAGCTTGTAACCAAGATACGTGCCCCCGAACAGAATTTAACCTGGGACCCTTTAGTCAGCTGGCCGATGCTCTATCCACTGAGCCAAACCGGCAAGGGCTTGGCATTGTTTATAAAATTTTATTGCTTGGATTCTTTTTTTTTTAAATAGTCTTTTAAATTGATTTCAGAGAAAGAAAGGGAGAGGGAGAGAGAGATAGAAACATCAATGATGAGAGAATCATTGATTGGTTGCCTCCTGCATGCCTCCTAGTGGAGATCGAGCCTGCAACCCGGGCATGTGCCCTGACCGGGAATAGAACGGTGACCTCCTGGTTCATAGTTCAATGCTCCACCACTGAACTACACCAGCAGGGCAGATGCATGATATTTGCCTGTCTCTCCTTTTGTAGTATCAGTAGCCATTGATGGTCAATGCCCAAATCCATTATTCCATTAGGAAGTATAAACAATGATATTCTAGCCCGGCCAGTGAGTATTGTCCCATGAACCAAAAGGTCACAGTTTGATTACTGGTCAGGACACATGCCTGGGTTTCGGGCTCGATCCCCAGTGAGGGTTGTACAAGAGGCAGCAGATCCATGTTTCTCTCATCAATGTTTCTTTTTAAAAAAAATATTTTCATTGATTTCAGAGAGGAAGGGAGGGGGAGAGATAGAAACATCAATGATGAAAGAGAATCAATCATTGATCAGCTGCCTCCTGCATGCCCCCCCACCAGGGATCGTGCCCGAAACCCTGGCATGTGCCCTTGACTGGGAATCGAACCCGGGACCCTTCAGTCCGCAGGCCGATGCTCTATCCACTGAGCCAAACTGGCTAGGGCTCATCGGTGTTTCTATCTCTCTCCCTCTCCTTTCCTCTCTCTGAAATCAATAAAAACATTTAAAAAATTCTAATTCTATCTTTTCTTCTTCATTGATTAACTAAAATTCGGCTATAAAGAGGTACTTCCCATTGTCCACTATTTGGTTATCCTGAGGTACAAGTCAGCTAGGAAAGGCAGGACAAGAATTTCCCCTTTATTTGCCACTCTTTAATTCATTCCCACGGTTTCTTAGGATCTTCAAATGTGAGAAATAAATTTTTAAAAAATCATTATAATCAAACGGATGGAATAATATTTGCTGTTTCCATCCACTGTGGCTCATGTTCTCACCGATGTTCCCGTGTCCCATTTCTGACCAGCAGGACTTATCCAGGTTGGCTCCCCCATGAAAAGCCACTGGAACCTCTACCCTGCTGCCAGCTCAGCGGCCAGGCCTCCGTCCTGATAGCTACGCTGTGGGCACAATCCGGTCAGGGAACACGTAAGAAGCAACCAATGACTGCGTAAGTAAATGGAACAATAAATTGATGTTTTTCTCTCCCCCTCCCCCGCCACCTTCCCCTCTCTCTCAAATCAATACATTTTTAAAAAGTTAAAAAAGGAAATAATTAAAAAAGAACACAACCCTCCAAATTGCTAATATGATTATTTGAGGGTGATGGGATCAAGGGTCATTATTTTTATAGGTTGTTTTTGTACCACAGTTATTTTACTTTTAAAATACCATTATTTATCTGTGTGTATTCTTTCTAATTCTGCACAGAATAGTTCACTAGTGCTTCTTCCTCAAAGAACTCTGGGACCCCTTCCTTGGAGGTCCTCACAGATATTGGGAGTTCTTGGGGTTAAGTGTGTGAGAATAAACCAGTCATCATTTCTGTCCAAGAACAGTTTAGACAGCCACCATGTTGGACTGCGTGACTTGGCAGCTGCCATTTTGGCCTCTTGGCTTGCAGCTCCCCTGGGGGCCAACATCTTGAAATGGCAAAGGCCAACCTCTCCCTTTGAATCAGCCAATCTCGAAAGTCTGTGCGCCTGAGCTCCAATCAAGAGCGAGGGACAGGTCAGGTGCGCCAGGATTAAAAAGCCGAGCAGACCACCGGCTCAGTGCGCATGCTCCAGACCACGTGCTGCACACCCTCCTGCAGGAGTAGAGACATTTGCCTGCTGCCTGGCTCCCGAGTCTGCTTTGTGTTCTACCAGGACCCCTGAAGTTGGGGACTTGCCTTATTTCTAACAAGTGGATTGCTGTCTCCGGCTCCAAGGCCAAACCTTGACAGATCATCCCCTGTGTAACTCAATCTACCCACGTTCCCAGGCAGAGCATGCTACTGCCTGGCCTCTGACTGGCTTAACCCCACTATGAAGTTTTAGGGGAAACACTGCTTATCTGGCTGTTCTGTATTCTTACTCTGGCTCACAGGGGCTCCAAGCTGTCCCGTCTGAACCATAGTTCATGATGGCCTTCCTATGTTCTAGACACGTGTAAATAATAAACCCCCAAAAGGGGAAGAGCAGCACCTTCCCCAATTGCGTCCTTTCTTTGGCTTTAGGTGAATTCCAGAGCAAATGTGAAAGGCACTTTTAATCCACATCTAAGGCTGAATGGTAAATTATTCTGGGTCTTCCTTCTTTTAATGAGGAACTCCAGTAGAGGCATCACCCTTTCCTGCCTCACAGTTCCTGAACGTCAACATCCAAACAATGGTTGTTTGTTTAGGCAGATTGAGGCTGCTATGTAAATTCCAGGAGACACATAAAAGCCCAAAGGAGTCTGCTTAGCCTAGTAAGACTTCTGAGAATGGAATAACTGCCGTGACTCATCACCACCAGAGTCTGGGTCCTAGTACCCTTCAGTTTGTTCCTGCTTGTCTCATACAGGAGATGGGGCTACTGACCTACTTTTAGGAGGGCATGCCCTTTATGTAGCTTACATAACTCCGGGGAAGAGACCAGTCATACTTCCTTGCCTGGGATCCTTTAACAAGGCCCTTCTGTGATGGCCGTCTTCTGGCTGGACAGCCAGCAGTTTTCCTCTGTGGGAGGCCAACTAGTCTGCCCAAGGTTTTATGAGACCTTGTTAGGGCACATACTTTTTTTCTTTTATCTTTAGGGCCCAAACTCTTACCAACTGAGCTAAGGGGCCGAGATGGTCCTGGAAAAGGAGGTGGGGAGCGGGCGGCCAGGCGGCTCACCTGCTGGGTAGTGGCCAGACAGTACTCTGCTGTGCTCAGGATGCTGCAGATGAGGCAGAGCTCCTCCAGGGTGAACTTGGCTGCTTCGGAGCCCTCCTTTTCCTTGAGGAGGCTGCTGATGGTCAGCCCTCCACTGCTGCTTGTGGTTCTGAGGAAAAGGAACAGGAAGTAGTCAGGCTGGGACTTCTCATTTGCTTCCTGAACTAGAAACTGCACATTTTAAGAAAAGAAAGGGGGGAAGGAAAGGCTGGACATGGCCCAAATAAACCCACATACAAGTCCTTTCCTATTGACCTCACCTTGACTATCATCTGTTTAAATTCTCAGACCATCAGAAATAGGAAAAGATGTTTCCAACAGTAAGCCAGTAATCAGTCATATTTACTGTGATGACTCTGATACAGAGGAGGCTGCTGAACACTGGCTGCTTAGCTTGGCATTTCCTGATCTGTTGAGCTCATTCAGGATCATCTGAAGCACAAGAGCTGGCTCCCCAATTGTTTCTCTCAGTCAAGCAAACTCTGCACAGGAATTTGCACGTTGTGGTGGAGGGGTACAAAAGTGCACGTTAAGAAATGGTTCCTATGCCCTAACCAGTTGGCTCAGTGGATAGAGCGTCAGCCTGCGGACTGAAGGGTCCCAGGTTCGATTCCGGTCAAGGGCATGTACCTTGGTTGCGGGCACATCCCCAGTAGGGGGTGCAGGAGGCAGCTGATCGATGTTTATCATCAATGTTTCTAACTCTCTATCCCTCTCCCTTCTTCTCTGTAAAAAATCAATTAAATATATTTTTTAAAAAAAGAGAAAGAAATGGTTCCTGCCCAAACCCCCATTGTCTCAAGAAACCAGAAGGCATCTCATCGCTTCCTACTAGGGCAGCCATGGGCAAACTATGGCCCGCGGGCCGGATCTGGCCCGTTTGAAATGAATAAAACTAAAAAAAAAAAAAGACCGTACCCTTTTATGTAATGATGTTTACTTTGAATTTATATTAGTTCACACAAACACTCCATCCATGCTTTTGTTCCGGCCCTCCGGTCCAGTTTAAGAACCCATTGTGGCCCTCGAGTCAAAAAGTTTGCCCACCCCTGTACTAGGGTCTAATCACATGCTCACAAAATGTCAAAATTCGGTTATAAAACTTCCTGTTCTTTCAACCATGAGTGTCTAATTTTTTTTTTAAGTAGATAGAATTCAATGGCATTTATCTTAAAAATTAGCCGTAGCTGGTTTGGCTCAGTGGATACAGCATCAACCTGTGAACCAAAGGGTCCCGGGTTTGATTCTGGTCAAGGGCACGTACCTTGATTGCAGGCTCCTCCCCAGCCCCAGCCCTGGTCGGGGCTCGTGTAGGAGGCAACCAATCAATGTGTCTCTCTCACACTGATGTTTCTCTCTGTCTTTGCCTCTCTCTTCCACTCTAAAAAAATTTCAATGGAAAAATATCCTCAAGTGAGAATTAACAACAAAAAAAAATTAAAGAGAAATTTCTCCTTTAAAAAACCTGCCCAGTCTTACTGATAATCAAAGATATGAAAACGTTTTAATTCCCGGTACTTATAAGAGTGCGAGGGCACTGGCTCTCTTGTCCACTATGGGTTAGGAGCTTCACACTGGACAACCCTTCTGGAGGTGTATTTCAGGAGCTTATAAAAATGTCCAGGTGATTTAAGCCAGTAGTTCCACTTCTGTTCAAGGATGCTTTTCTGAGTGTTATTTAAAATACCAAAATAGTAAGCCCAACCCAAACGACCAATTAAGAGAATGATCAATCATAATCCCAGAAGTTAACTGAGGTTCTTCCATAGGTTTGACTGCCACGGCACCATTAAACATGTTTTGATGAATATTTACTGTCAGGAGTGCCCACTATTCTCTGCTGGCCTCCCAGATCCATTTTCTGCTCTTCTCTTCTCTATGGCTCAGGAGACTGACTTCTACAGACTTATCATCATCCAGGTTCCTTGGCCCTCAGGCCCTTTAATATAGTTCCTCATGTTGTGGTGACCCCCAACCATAAAATTATTTTCGTTGCTACTTCATAACTGTAATTTTGCTACTGTTATGAATCGTAATGTAAATATCAGATATGCAGGACGTATTTTCATTGTTACAAATTGAACATAATTAAAGCATAGTGATTAATCACAAAAACAATATGCAATTATATATGTGTTTTCCAATGGTTTTAGGCGACCCCTGTGAAAGGGTCATTCAACCCCCAAGGGGTCGCGACCCGCAGGTTGGCGACCCACAGGTTGAGAACCGCTGCTCCAAATAATGTAAAACTCCATGTAGGACACCTTTCAGTAACAACGACAGAAACTAATTCCATAATTGTTGAACTTAGCCACGGGGATGATTCATAATCACTAAATTTCAAAGCCTTACCTTAAATCATATTCTATAAAAATTGAAATTGCTATAGTATAACCAGAACATCTAAAACCCTAGTGCAATGATTCATTTATTTCAAGCAATAACAATGTAACAACATTAGTGACTATGGTGAAGTCACTACAATTAGGAGCTGTGCTATGCAACTCCCTACCCCCAAATCTCACTACGTCTTTAAACATTAGACTCTATCCAGCATAGCAAGACACACATACCATAGGAGAGACTTGGGAATGTAATTAGACTAAGGGAAGGCAGACTCATGCCTCTTGTCTATTTATCATCCCAGGACATACCCTCATTGAATGGGGCCTGCGTGAAACTGCCCATGCTGTTTATAAGTTATTTCCACCACCACCTCACTTTTTTGGCCAACTAGCCACTGCTGAATCCACATAAATTAAATATACATATAATGGGCCGACTCCCTCGAGCCCACGGTGGTAAGATCTGACCTATGCTGGCAGCCAGCAAGGGCATTTCCTCTAACGGTCTTGATAGCTGTGGAATCCCATTTAGAGAGGAAATAGTCTCAGGTCTTGTGAACTCAATCAGGGTGTTTTCTTCCTTGATCCTCTCAGCAGTTCAGGAAATAACTTCATAGTGGACTTCCTTAAAGATTCCCATATTTAGGTGTGTTTAGAAGCATACTTCCCCACTCGGACCGGGGAGAACAGGACTCACTTGGGCAGGTTGCCAGAGAGGATTTTCCAGGCATATTCTCGGAGGTACTTCTGGAAAATGGTGCTCAGAGCGATCATTGGCTCCCCGGTGCTGAGCTGAGAGCACTGCACCATGCACTTCTTGTAGTACACAAAGAGGTCAGCACAGCTGGGGAGCACGGCACCCACTTCATCAGTGTTGGGCTTAGGTGGCCCCTGGGCTTTGAAATCCGCCACAAACCGATCTATCAGCTCCCCGAGGTTTCTAGGAAGAAGAAAACTTGAAATGTTATTCTATTTCAAGAAAGAGAAAGTAAATAAATGTGCTTGGCAGCCATGAGTAAATTATTCCTAATGCTTTTTACATTTAAAATTAGACCCATTTCTATCAGTATCATCACCACCCCCATGACTCCTATAGTAACAGCAGCAATAAAATGTGGCACTTGAGGCCCGGCCAGGTGTGGCTCAGGGGTTGAGCATCCACCTTGGAACCAAGAGGTCACTGGTTTGACTCCTGGTCAGAGCACAAACCCGGGCTGTGGGCTCAATCACCAATAGGGGGCATGCAGGAGGCAGCCAATTAATCACTGATGTTTCTATCTCTCTCTCCCTCTCCTTTCTTCTCTGAAATCAATAAAAAAAATTTTTTATAATGTGGCACTTGCCAACTGCTTTATACTTTCCAAAGCATTTCATGATCACATATGACCTCCATCCCCTGTGAGGGAGATAAGGTACTAGTGAATGCTCTAAAAGATGAAAAAAGTAAGGCCAGAAAGTCTGTCACATTTAGTGGCAGAGTTGAGCCCAACATCCACCACTTAAGTGCATGCACTGGTCCTACTATCATATTAGACCATCTCCCTTTTCCACAAATGAAAACCCTAAATAATGATAGTAATCACTTTCTGAACACTTGCACTATGTCTGTATTTTATGTGTCATTTCAATGAACTTCACTGAATGTTCACAATAACCTTATGAAGTAGGAAACTATTACTATCCTTATTTTCAAAAAGCAAAGTGCAGGAAAATTAAGGACCTTGTCTAAGATCATACAGCAAGAGAGTGGGGGAGCCATAATTCAAAACCAAGCAGCCTGGCTCCAAGCCTCAGACCTTTAACCACTCTACCCCGCGACCTCCTAAAACACAGAAAGGTTATGATGTCAGCAAATATTGAGGTATCATTAACCTACTTGTGCCCACAAAACAGATGCCTAAACAAAGACAAACTGTAAAGAAATATTCTAGCCTTGGCCAGTGTTGCTCAGTGGTTAGAATGCTGTGGGTCTGATTCCCATCAAGAGCACATACCTGGGATGCAGGTTCAATCCCTGGCCTGGTCGGGGCGAGTGTGGGAGGCAACCAATCGATCATGTCTGTCTCACATTGATGTTTCTCTCTCTCTCTCTCTCTCTCTCTCTCTCTCTCTTTCTCTCTCTCCTTCCCTCCCTCCCTCCCTCCCTCCCTCCCTCTCTCTTTCCCTCCAACTCTCTCTTAAAAAAAAATCAATGGAAAAAAAATATCCTCAGGTGAGGATTAACAAGAACAAAAAACCAACACAAAAACAAAAAAGAAATATTCTAATGCTTTCTTTCTCCTTTAATGCAGTTTTTCTGGGAACTACAGATGTAAAGGCACACGTCTTGGGAGAAGAGGGTCTGAGCAGCTCCAGGCTTGCCCCAGGTTGCGGTGGTGACGGCGGCTGCATTTTTTCTCCCATTTCCCATTCAAACATCACTGACTTTGCTTCAGTTGTAGTGAGTCATCACTAGTTAGAACCCAGCAGGCCTGCACTGGTTGTTCCCTGCACAGTTGTGCAGTGTGAAGAATGGGAGGAGGGGGTTCCCACCCCTCTTGACATTCTGCATCTTTGTAGGTGGCTGTCTAAGGCTACAGGAATCCAGCTGTGCTTTAAAAATGTATTTATATAACAGTCAGGAAGAAAAAGACAAGAACCACACACAGCATCAATTAGCAGGAACAGGAGAAAATTGACATTTTACTCCAGAGCCTTTGTTATTGAAAGTTTATTATATCCAGATGCCGCCGCTCTGCCCTCAAAGAACTTCATGCCAAGGCTGGGCTTTGTGATGATGGTCAGCAGCAGGGAAGGAACTCCGGCCTCCCCACCCCCATTCCTCGCAGCCTCTTCTTGCCTAACCTTTCCATGTAATCTCCCACCTCTCCTCCAGAGTG